GGATTTCTAGCTGTGAAAGGTCACTGCAAATCATCTGTGAAACCTATTATTTTATATTATTTGATACTATTTTATTTTCTATTTTAATAAGCGAGCTTTGTATGCTGTGCTTCATTTGTGCTTGTCTGGTAACAGAGGTGTGAAAGATGTATTTTCAAATTCTATCCTGTTTACAATGTTTACTGCCATTCAAGAAAAGAACTTACCGATAACATTTTCAGATCTCTCATTTCTAACTGGGCAGCAGATGAGACTCCTTTTCAGTTCATCAGAACTCTTCGACATATTAAGTGTTTCCATAGAACTCAGGGTTCGAAGGGCATATGACGGATCTATATTCCTGAGGTTGTGCTCCCTGAAAAATTATACTTTCAAATTACAAAACCCCCCAAATATCCCATATTTGTTTTAAAAGTAAACCACACTCGAGGACTTGCAAAGTCTCCGGACAATACCTTCTGTAGATCTGGCAGGTTGATCCGAGCTCCTCACATTCCAAATGTATAACTCTTGAGAATAAAGTCTGTAATCAAAAGACAAAAATGAAAAACAAAACAAAACAAAACAAAAAAAATGAAAACATTGTGTATGGCTAAAAATATTGTACTATATTCTGAACAGACAAAGTAATGGAAAACAAGGAAATTGAGCAGGATGTCAAGATAATGTACCTTTTCTTCAGTGTCTGAAGTTTGCTCACTGGGGATAAAGATGGTGCAGTATTGAGCGTGTGTAAAGGGCATGATGGTGGCAGCCATCTTACTCAGCATAACTTCAAGGGAATGGTGCTCCTTTGATAGTACTTGTGCCATCTCTATCAAAGCCTGGACCACACACACATATGCATGAAGATATTACTTGGATATACATGTTACAAGGCATAAAACGATTTTAAACTGTTCTCTGGCTTTACCTTACTGCGTTTAGCCTCTTGTCTCGCACCTTCATACAGCTGGACATTATCCAGGACAGTCCCCAACACATCCATATGATTTGACAACACCTTAAAACAAAATCAAACGCGTATTTATGGGTGGTAAGCATTAAGACAAGGCAAATATCTGACATTATAAATAATATATAATAGAAAAAAATCTCCATACTAAAGTCCAATCCCTCACCTTTTCATCAACGTTTGTGAAAACAGAACGTGATCCATCGCAACTATTTCTTTTGTTGATCATTAGCAGGACACCTAAAACCTGTTCAAAAAAAGAAAACGTTTTATTTACATCCAATCTATGTTTAAAATTCTGTTATGACAATGAACAATATGCCACTGAAAAATCCACAGGACATTTACATTAGTTAAAGGTATTTGCAACGGCACACATACCTCTCCCCTATGGTTGCTGATAGGAACACTCAGAACCGTCCTGATCTTTGATGTTTGATCATTGGCTAAGTTGAATCTGGGGTCCTGTTGGGACAAATAAGGAAAACATAAGTGCATGTAAGAGGATCACTTAATATTAATTACTTAACAGCAACATGTTTTAAACATATCCTATCCAACAGTCTTATGTATGTTAGATATTTGTGGCAACTGAGTAGCAACAGACTTTAATACCTAAACTAACTTTAATCTCTTCATAACCCTTTGTTGTTAAGCTATTGGGTCAGCGCTGTTCATCAGCTTTAGCCACATCTGACCAAAAATACCCACACTTCTCAGGATGCTTGGCATCTACCTAGTTATTAGGGACAACCCATGCACACCCACGCTGACTGGGTTTACCTGGTGTTCAACTCTTCCAGGCACACATTCCAAATCACCTTACTTGTGAGGGCAAGAAGAGCTGCTGTGACCACTACCTGTAAGCCTTTTAGACAGCTTTGGCATGAATCTACTTTTGTGGGGGTGTATGTGTGGGCATGTGCGAGGAAAGGACAGTAATCCAAGGTTTATCACTGGAAGCAGTCACTAAAAGGATTAAAAGAAACTGCGTCATCAGGGATTCCCTATCAGGCTTCTTCAAATAGCCATGTCATCATCTCAAAACAGACTTTCAGGAAATGGGTGACTCATTAAACATGCAGTCCTCATTTCTGATTTTTAATCCCTCGTCTGTGCCCTGGAACATGGGAGTTAAGCTTACATGTACAATCATGACATCAACATTTACCTCAGATGCATCTCTTAGATTTATTGGTGAAGCTGTAGCCATTACGCATCCCATGATCCCTTTTACCAGTTCTAGATGAGCTTGGCTGTATGGGTTTCCCTCATTCAAGTGCCCCAGTGATGTTAGGGCTATCACGTCTTCCAAGCTACTCCTTCCACCACAGTGTTTCCGTACAAGAGAGAGCGAACCACCCTCTGCTCCCAGTAGCTCCCCAACATGGATCACAGTCCCCTGGCAGAGCTCTGCTAAAGAACCCATACAGCTTAGGCCTTCTCCTAGGAGCCCCATCATCCAAGGGCAGCCGTCACCATGGCCACATGATGTGGGTGGAAAAAACTGTGGAGGGTGGGGTAAGCTAGATGAGCAGGGGCAAACGGGAGCTCGTGGTTGACAGGGAGAAAACTGAAAACGGGAACAACGAGGTAAGCAGAGAGAGCATGGTGAATGGCTTTCTTTATCATCTGGACCAAAGTGGTCCATCCATTCAGGGACACTGAGATTTGAAGCGAGGCGTCTGTCTGTCAAAGTTAAAACGTTCAGGTCTGAGCTTCTCAATGGGGAAGAATTTCTCCGATAAGGTGCCTTCATGAGCGCCTCGGAATGGTCAGAGCTCCTCCTTTGAAAACTTGACAGAAGTGGGGACATTTCTGTCTGTGGACAACTGACCCTGAAATCATACACAAATTACATGATTTATTTAAAAGCAAAACTAAAATAAAGTACTTAAAATTTGTATAAAAAGTATTAAACATATATGTGGAAACATAATTTTATCTAATGCAGCTTATATTTTCATTACTAATAAAGTGTTCACCTTTACAAGCGTTTTATTCAACAAAAGTTTGTTAAAAACGTTTTAATCGCACATTATAATTTTGAGGGATCTGAGTAATTTGAGTTTCAGCTAAAACTGTAGAGGTATAAAATGTAAACTCTTACGCTGAGGTTCTGCGTAAAAAGTAAGCCCTTGTGAAGTCGGAGTGGTCATCCAACCATGCGTCCTCTTGGTAGCTTGTCGTACCATCTCCAAACTTCCTGCTATGCAACCTGGACCTTGGACTCCACAGTGGGGAGAAGAACCAGCCCGTGCCTTGCACCATCGGCGAGTCGTTCACGATTCCCCTGCGCATCGACTCCGCGCCAGCGTCCGGAGATGCCCCAGGACTCACGCTGCCAGGCTCCATGGACTCTAGCGCTTCAGAGTGAAGGCAGGGCATCCCCTCGCTCAGGTAAATCGAGAAAAGATCGGGTAAACTCAGTTTTTACGCCCAGTGAGCTATCTAAGAGAAACACCTCGAACGCGAGGAGGCAGAAAGTAAGACAGACTAACGACTTGCCAGAGAGCAGAGCATAAAGAGCCCGTGAAAACGATTGCGTCAAGGTAATCCCTTGACCTTTATTTAGCCGATATCCACTAAAGGAACCTGATTAAATGGATTTGCTCTAACCCCCGGCTCGTACATGTTATGAACTCGTCATTTAAATTTAACACCTGTGTCCAAGTGTCCAAAAAAGTAAATATCTTAGAACTAGGAAAACCAACCTATTGTGATATTTATTTGTACAATAACAAAAAAGCACCAACATGTCCTCATTTAAATAGTAAATAATAGGTTAATCCTAATTATTTGGCTTGAAGTACAGAACGAGCAATAAAACCAAGTAAAAAGGACAAAATATGGTTTAATCATCATAAGTATACAACATATTATGTGTTATTCACTTACGTGATGTGGATAAACTATAAATGAACCTTTACGCTTTCTATAAAAAAAGCATGATAGGTGATCACATGATCAGCAAATATTTGAGCTTTGCAATTTAGACCTTTAGAATTAAAATAAATAACCAAGAACAACATGAACACAGTCAGATATCATTACAGATATATAGCATTAACTGGACATTAGAAGATTATTTCACACTGTGCTAATATGTTACAAAATAGTACTTTGCCCTCTTAAACAAGAAATACATTTGAGTAAAATGTAACTGAAATATATAAAATCAAAAGTTTCTTTTATTTAAATAATTAATGATGGAGCAAAATAGGCTTGGTGTAAACTGAATGCCAACTGTATACCAGTCAAGTACATTTCATTTAGCCAGATTCTGTTAAATACATTTATACGTGCAACATAAGTACAACATAACATAAATTGTACTCCTTGCAAAAAAAAGAAAAAGAAAAGAAAAGCCGAAGATCTTAAAAGCAAGGTGACCAGAACAATGTTTATTTAGTTTTTAGGGAATATCACACAGTGCTGTAATAAGAAAGGGCTTTTCAAACATTCTTTGACTGATATCTTGTTTATCCTTTTCTTATCATGTTTTATTTTCTGGAGACAAATAACTGAAATTGTAGCGACATACCATCAATTGGTGTGTGAGGTTTTAAAAGTTTCTTTTAAAGAATTTTTCTTTCATCTGTTTAAATTGCTCTGCAGTCCTCAATATTATTTTTACTTTGGACAGAAAACTGCATGCTGGTATGTGCCACTCAGTATTTAAGGGCTCCCTCTGCTGGTCTTGGGTACTTCTCATCACCTGCAGTGGGTGGATCCTCCAGTGACAGCTATACTGTGATTGGCTGCTCCAGTAGGAGGCTGCCATGACACATTGGATGCTGCACAGATCCACAGCATCAGCAGGCAACGGACCTCCATCCTCCTCGTTATCCCTCTCTCTTTCTCTTTTTTCTCCTCCTTTGCCTCTCCTCCTCTCACTACTACCCCTGCTCTCTCTTCTCTGTCCCTTCTCCTCCCACTTGGAAAGACACGCAGGCCTGTTTGAGTACACTGCAGCAGAGGTCCATTAACACAACAGCAGCAGGAATAGCAGCAGCAGCGACAGCAGCAGGCGGACTGGTAGGTGTGCTGAGGCCTGTCTCCCTCCTTATTGCAGCACAGGCAAGACATCGCATTCTCCTCTGATCACTGTCAAGGACTATCTTTTTGAGAAGTGTGCGTGCATGTGAGAGCAGGAATCTGGCAAGTAGTCAAAGAGGACTACCACACCCTGGGAACATTATTACCAGTGGTAGGGCTGAATGTAGCAGCTGATATTTTCATTCTCATGCTATGTTCATTATGTACTTATTTCTGAGCTTAAACACAAGGATTCATCTTTTGCTTTTCTCTGCTCTAGTTGTTTGTTGCTTTTCCTTCATTCTACAGCACTGTGATTTGATTCAGCACCCACTAGGCCTTGTTCGTCTACACACGTGTCTTTGCTAATGAATGCATTGAATGTCTAACTAAGGTCACATCATTTGCCATGCTGTGCGCACATATTGTCAGCCTACCTAATGACAGCCTTCGTCTTTCCTTTCCAAAGCTGTCTTCATCACCAGCCTCTCCATCCACCGTTCTCTCTTCTGTCCTCCTGCATCTTAATTTCCTCTCACTCCCATTCCTCTTTCCTAAAACCCTGTTCCTCCTTCCCCCGCCCCTTGCATTCCAGTCTCAATCTCTTCGACGTGCCTTTTCTTCTTCCTGCCGGCTGGTTTCCCAGGATGCCTTTTTCCAGGCCGCTCCGTTAGGCCCTACCAGCATGGGCGGAGACTGGGTGGGGAGAGACATTACGGATTGGACCCTTCCCCTCAGGACGGGCGCACTGGCGGGTCACCCTCCCTCAGCTTCAGATGGGCGAGGACGCTGAGAGCCCCAAAATCAACCACACCTTCCTGCGAGACTACGTCACTGAAGGTAGAGCGGACGATGTCTCGCTGCCATCTCTGTGGTGTCAGATAACATACTGGTATAATTGAACAGATTAATTTCAGCTTCCTGCATTGCACAGTAGAAGGAATGTATGATGACACTGCCTGACTCAGCAACAGACACTTTCATAATTTAAATTTTCCTTAGGCATCATAGACATAAATGGTTGATTTATGGTTTAGAGTAACTGAAATAATATGTGATTTTATTAATTTTTCTTTCATTGCCAGCCTTTTCTACATTGTTATGGTCACTTAATCATCTGTGCTTTTTTTGCCATGTCTGCCTAACGTTCTCGCTACTCTATCATTGCTGCGGTTTTCTTTTCTTCTTTCTATACTTTTGTTTAATTGCCTCCAATGTTCCTATCTTCCTTACAGCTGATGTCATCTCTACAGTGGAGTTTAACCAGACAGGGGACCTTCTGGCCACGGGGGACAAAGGTGGCCGGGTGGTCATCTTTCAGAGAGAGACTGAGGTTAGTTTACAATGCAAAACCACCACTTTCTGTACACATGCTTTTTTTAAAAAAATAGCTTCGTACACATACTGTAAATGCATGCTGAAAGCCGTGTTTTCCTCACTGTCTGCCCTGGGCAGCCGAAAGGTGAATCAGAGGAGGTGGGCGAGACAGGGGACTCTGGGGAGTACAATGTCTACAGCACGTTTCAGAGCCACGAGCCTGACTTTGACTACCTGAAGAGTGTGGAGATAGAAGAAAAAATTAACAAGATCAGATGGCTGCCACAGCAGAACGCAGCACATTTCCTCCTCTCCACCAATGGTGAGAAATCAGTGACTTCTCAGTCTCTATCAGAACATCATATTGATTGTTGGTTGTGGTAAAATGAAGTACAGGAAGTATACATGCATATAGGTTTTATCTATCTATCTATCTATCTATCTATCTATCTATCTATCTATCTATCTATCTATCTATCTATCTATCTATCTATCTATCTATCTATCTATCTATCTAT